CTTTAGTCCTGTTTTCAATATACCAAACAAAAAATGATTTGGGAGAAAAGGAAAACAAAACCACAACACATCTTGAATTTTAAGTATACACATTGTAAATTTATTTTTCAGAACATATTTTAAAAACAATACATATATACAAATGACTAGACAGCATGGCTAACACAGACCACGTCCACACTGCAAAGTGTGAGAATTTAGTGTGCTGACAGTAGTACTGGTACAGGCAGGCAGAGCAAGAATAAATAATAGTGCTTTGGGGAGAGCAGTAGTGATGGATGGGGTAGGTAAAGGCAGCGGCCTCATCGTGGGTACTACACCAGGAGCAACTCCCCAGTACTGACACGTGCAAAGTTCCAGATCTCCACGACAGGCAGAGCAAGAATAAATAATAGTGCTTTGGGGAGAGCAGTAGTGATGGATGGGGTAGGTAAAGGCAGCCGCCTCATCGTGGGTACTACACCAGGAGCAACTCCCCAGTACTGACACGTGCAAAGTTCCAGATCTCCACGACAGACAGCCCACCCCACCCAGTGTCCCAGTGGGGCTGACCATGGCAGAAGAGCTTGGGCACAGTGGGAACTGAGAGGAGGGCCCTGGCCCTGGGAGAGTTGAGAAGCTCATGTGTTCACATAGACATAGCCCCATCGAGGGCATTGCACTTAGTAACACAACTGTACACAGTCTTAACAAAGGTGTTCCCAGCCTCCCTGTCACTTCTTTGGCAGTAGGTCAGGCCACCTCAATCTCTCTCTCTCTCTCACACACACATACACACACACGCACACGCTGTCCTGTGTGGTGCGGACAGGCCTTCAGATGAGAGCAAAGCTAACAGCGACAGCACTAGATGAACATCCCTAAACAAAAGGAGATGTTAATTGCTAATGACAATTGTACAGGCAGAATTACTTCATGCCCCATAACCACAAGGATGAGCATACAGTCATTTTCTTAGACAATGGTGAAATAAGCCCTTAATTGTGCTTCAGCAAATGAACTTACGGGGTATAGAAACTAAGTCTCATGCTAAAATTTGCACTACTGCAATAAACTAAGTTTAAATGTATTTCTGGGTCAGAACAAAGAGCCCTACAAGTCTGAGGACTCGCCGAGTCCACAGGGACTTGTATCTGTAACAACTATTCACACACGTGTGTTAGACCCATGGCAGTGGAATCCATCCAGGGTTTCAGATGAACCTAAAGTGAAGAATTAAAGCCACCCTGTGTAATGAGGCACAGGAAGCCACAGCTAGTGGCTGATGAGGGCTTCTCAAGACTGGATGTTGGTTGAATTGAGGATTCGAGAAGTAGCATCAGATTTGGAAGCCTTTGAAAGTTCTTGCTGTTGAAAAAGAAATATGATCAGTGGTTGTGCTGCTCCAATTTGCAGGACCCCCCTTTCTAAGTTCAGTTCAGTGTGATCAGAAGGGCCCCTGAGGGCTTTTCTTGAAAACAGAGCTCCTGAGTCCAGGGATAAGCTGTGTTAGGAGCAGATGAGGTTCTTTGCACACCATTCTATTAGTCACAGACAAAGCATGTGTGCACATCTACGTGTCTTACCTCAGCCCATCCACCTCACAGAAAGGAAACCCCTTATGTTTGGCAAAGCTACTCTCAAGCTAGGTTAAGTCTTAAGCTTTGGTCTCTTGAGCCCTTGAAGTAACCAGACAGGCCGGACCACATATCTACCAATCCCTGGGGGAGGGCCTTGGAGCCTGCTGGTGATTTAATCTCATGCTGGAGCACATGGTAGAGAAGCAGAAGGTAAGGAGGCATGATTAAACCGTGGCCAAAGTTGTTAGTAGAGGTCGGTCTATGGCTGTGCTGTTGCTTGGTGGAGTCCAACAGCCAGAGCAGGCACAAGCAGGTCCAGAGACAAGCAGACGCATTGCAGTGGATAAGACAGGACTTGACCACATAAGCAAAAGAGAGCTGGGGCCCATGGCGTGGCAATCAGCTAGCCAGTGACACGTACCCACTTTTAGAACTGCTGCCGTGTAATTTGGAAGAAGGGTCAGAATAGAAGGCTAACTCTAGGGCTCCAAGCAGGCATAAGCCTTGGGCAAGTGTACCATTCTCCCTGTCACTGCAGCAACGAGAGGGAGTGCCCTGGGTGAGGGCCAACATCCCAAGGGTGAGGGTCCTCTCAGCTCAGTAAGAAGGTATCCAAGGAAAAGAGCGCAGGTTGTTCAGGGCATTGTTAAGTGAAGGAAGATACTGGGAGTTGAAGAGCATTTGGGGGAAATGGCTTTCTTCTTCCAAGGCTTCCCAGAGGCTTAGCAGCTCAATGTGTAGAAATAGGGAAGGCCAGGAAAGGAGCACTGGTTAGTTGAGACAGACGTTGGCAATTCAGCCAGTGGGTTAGTAAGGAATGTACTCCAGGAAATAATCAGCACAGAGGCCAAGAGCCGCATCATAGGTAGCACACAGCCAGGGCTCCCTCCCCACATGATGACGCCTTCATTACTTCCAGCACATTGCAGGCCGCAGATGTTACAATCAGGGAGCTCACGATGAACTTTGCCTGGCTTTAGTGGGGCTGAGAATCCAATTCCAGTATGAACACGTGTTCTTGTAATCAGCAGGTTAGCTTGCTGGAACTTATATCCAATAGTATTTTTGTGGTGCTTGAAAGGAATTCCCTCTATCTTTGTAAAAACAGTTGTATAATGCAGTTGAGGTTATTGGTTAGTGTAGCCCTTTACCCAGGTGGGAATGAAGCCAGCAGATGACAGATCAGTTTGGAAAAGGGATACGGGACATGCAAGGTTGCCATACCGACCTGAAGCCCAACAGTAGAGCTGTCAGAGAGGGACGGATCCTTCTAAGAACAAAGAATTAAGACAATTACCAAGAACTCCATCAAGAGAGCACCAGGGTAGTCATTAGAGAGGTCATCTCCTGCAGCCAGGGAGTGGTATATCTTAAGCAGAAGGATCCAGATTACAGGTCTGGTTGTAAATTTCTTCCTACTCACTCCCGTCAGCTACTTCCACCCCCACCACAATCATGGCAAGAAAGGGATTCTCAGCCCCCACGGTCAGCATCGTAACTCATTGCCTGGGTGCCCCGGGAAGATACCCACCCTGCCCCAACTGTGTGCTCCCCAGAGACTGGTAGATATTTAGAAAGGTGAATTACCGCAAACTCAGAATAGGTGCTGGCAACAGAATTAATGCTGAAGTTGCGCTGGAGGGGGGTCGAGTCGGGGTACCCACCGCTCAGGAAGCTGCCATTGAGCTCCAGGTTCTCCTTGTTCGCTCCATACATGCCGGGACGGGGAGTCTTTTTCCCCGAACACGTGGCACTGACTACTGGCTGCAGAGAAATGTAAGAGACCAATGTATTATCCTTGGGATTGCACTTAAAAATACTTCAGAATGGTCGAAGGTTGATAACCCTTATCTATGTAATCCTGGATTATTGGTTTACAAATATGTGTGAATTTTTAAGGATCAACAGGACACCTACCTTGAACTAAGTCTAAACATAATTTAGACTATGAACATATTTCAGCACAAGCTCCCCACTTCCCATCTTATGAGCACCTGTCTGCCTAGTGATCTGGTGTCGGCAGGCACCGAGTTGGATAGAGCCCACATGCAGGGAGCTAGCTCAGCACCAGTGACTCTGACCTGAGTCTCCCACCCGCCCGAGCCTCACTTCCCAATCACAGCACAGCCCTTCCCAAGTGCCAGGGTGGCCCACACTTGACCGTTCTCTTCTGTCTTTCATTTAGCATTTGAACCATCAATAATTGATTAGCTTGTATCTGTCAACTCTCAGCATCTCAATTATAACAAAATCCACACAGCTTAGCAAAAGCAATGAGTAGGTGGGTCTTTGGGTGACTTTAAGATAAGCCATGCTTGGGGAGCATACTAACCTTGCTGCCAGAAGGTGGAAGTCGTGACACAGGGGAGCGGTAAACCATTCCCCCTACAGCAGGCCGAATGGTACTGTTGGCTGTAGCATTGGATATGGTGGTAGTGTTCAGCTAAGAACAACAGAGAGATTACTGGTGAGACCTCATCTTCCACATTCTTGGCAATTCTGTTAGCCTCTCTATTCTACAGAGAACTGAATGAGGGAGGCAATCCAAGAAAAACGAATTTCATGGAAAAGAGCCTGCTGTGTTTAATATTGCATAGCTCTAAGGAGCCCTGTAAAAACTAAAAAACAACAACAAAAAACACAAAGAAACAAACCTCCAATTTATAGCCAGGAGGTGCAACTATAAAAAACTGGGTCCGCTACTTTGTATCTCAGGAGTCAAACATACACCAATCTTAAGACGCAGGCACTCTACTCTTGGGTAGCTGACCAAGAGAAAAGTGCCTGTCAATACAAAGTCACATATGTTTATAGCCACTTTATCTGTAACAGTAATGGATGCATCAACATCAGTAAATTGTAGGACTCTACTCAATAGTGAAGTGTTACCTTTCAACGTATGAAACAGAGAATCTCAAGAAATGTGCCAAATGAAAGAAGCCAGACCTAGGAACAAACGGTTTCATGTCTATGAAGCTTCAGAAAATGCAAACTACCCTGTGTACAGTGAGAGAGTAGATTCCTGGTTGCAAGGAGATGGGTGGCGCTGGGGCAGGGCACTCAGAGGAGCTTGAGGAAACTCGGGTGAGCGCATGCTTGTCATCTGGGTTATGGGGATCACGGTGTTTATGTCCGTCATCACTTGTCCAACGGTCGGGTTTACTCATAAATGATGCAAGAAAAAATTTTTAAAAAATTTTTGAATGGGGAAAAGAAATTCTAAGTGAATTTAAAACTGCGGGGAAAGCCAACTATTCGATAGGGAGGCAAAACAGGCAATATGAGATCACTTCAAAAAATTCATGAAAAAAGCCATTACCTTTCAGTTCCATTTTCCCAAATTTTTGAAGCCCCCTCATACAATATAGAAAAATATGTGTGATTTTCTTACAAGGCACAAAAGAGCAAGCCATTTACTAAACATGCAAACCTGCCTTCATACGGCACCATGGTAGCTTGTTGGAATTACAGAAGTTTCCATCCTCAGAGAAGTGTGGCTCTGACTGGTCCTACTCACAGCTAGCACCCGTCACAGCTGGCACTGCGGGGCTGCTGCTGTCGAGCACTACACAGAACTACCTCCGCCCTCCAGTCACACTTTCAAATGCACTCAGGCCCGAAAGGCAAAAGCCTCTGCCCATCTTTTCTGTACTGGAAGCTCAGCCTCCACAGTCCCTTGTAACAGTGGTTTGCAAAGCCTGCATCTACCTTCCGAACTTTGCCTGGTGTGCAGGGTGCCAGTCCTCGCCGCTTGCTGGGCGTCCGGGGAGCGCTGCCGTAGAGCATCTCTGCCTCTGTCTGCTTCTTGTTCTTTAGTTGCTGTGTGAAAAGTCAGATCCAACAGTGGTCAAGCCCAGTGAGAGCAGATCTAGGGTCAGTGCAGAGCAAGACCAGAAATCTAGGGCCAAGTTTCTGTATGCAGAGCTAAACTGCCTACTTGCTTTTCAATTCACTCTGATCCCTGGTTGAGACTAGGCTACTCAAGTTACTGCCTTCCCCTCTTCCCAATTTGTGTTGTGCTCACACTTACCCTTTCCTGCTTGGCTTTCTCTTTATCTAACCGATGCAGCTCCCATTGTTCCATCACGTACTCCATGAATTTCTGTCCGTTCACCACGAATGCCTGTGAATGCTCCTTCTCCCACATTTCAATCCGTGCCTTCAACTCTTCTTCCAGCTGAGATCAGACACAACAGCTTAATGACATCAGCTGAATGAAAGACTTCTACTAAAGAATTACTCCTCTCCTCACAGCATCATGAGCTTGGCTTCGGCTAACTGAACCCACAAGGATAACAAGAGCGGTGAGAAATCAAAGCCTAAAAATGTTTCACTCCCAACACACACGGTGGTGGGAAAAGATGGGAGAATTCTGCCCACTAGCTTTGTTCATCAGGAAGAACCATAAAAAACCCCAAACTCACTGCCAACGGGTCAATTCCAACTTAAAGTGACCCTGTAGGACAGGGTAGAAATGCCCCTGTGGATTTCCAAGACTGTAACTGTGTATGAGCGCATAATACCTCATCTAAGGGGAACTAAGGAGCTAGTGGTCCCAACTGTTGACCTTGCAGTTAGCACATAAGCACTAAACCACCAGGGCTGCGCTGAAGAACGGTCGGTGCTCTCAAGCCAGGCCGTGCACATGACGACCACGGGCTACTGAATCTGACGACCAGGATTCTAATACGGAATCTGGTTCTTACTGGCTATTTAAAGATGGGTAGTTATTTCTCAACGCCTCCCTTTCTTCACCTGGAAAAATGGAAATAGCCTCACAAGGATGCTGTGAGAATGAATGAATACATGGAAAGCACTTTAAAATAGTAACACTTAGCTCAGTAAATGCCACTATTATTATTAAAATAGAGGGTAACAGCATTTTCTCAAAAGGTGGCTGGATAGTCAGTTTTGCCTATACCAGGGAGGCACCGTAAATAGTTACAATCCTGTCTACTCTTTGGAAGAGCGGGCCATTTAGGGGAAAACAATCCAAAGCAATGAACAGCTCAGCAGCAGTATTACCTTAGGGAGTGTTTTCTGAAGCTTGGCACGTTGTTTTTCCTCTTTTAAAAGATTTCCCCCACGGTTTGTAAATCGGCTTGGATCTGAAGCTTTTCTCTGTGGAAAAAACATATTTTATTAGGCTAAGATCCAGGACAGTCAGGCCACCCAAGTCTATAAAGACTCCTTGCTCTTGTAGAAGAACACAAGTTCTACGGAGACTATGAGGAAGGTTCGGCATTCCCTCCCATCCTCATTTAAAAAGACATTTGAAATCTGGGGCAAGGGAATAGGATGTACATATTCCAGGGAAGAGAAATACCATTTCATATTTTAATTGGCAAAAATAAAAATCATTCTGATAAACCCCTTAGGCCAATAATGAAAGTTGCAATACCAGAAGGGGAAGGGGAAGGTGGGGAGAAAGGGGGAACCGATCACAATGATCTACTTATAACGCCCTCCCTGGGGGACAGACAACACAAAAGTGGGTGAAGGGAGACATCAGTCTGTAAGACATGGAAAATAATAATTCATAAATTAACAAGGGTTCATGAGGGAGGAGAGATGAGAGAAGGGGTGGGGGGAGGAGCTGAAAGAAAATGTTTTGAGAATGATGAGGGCAACAAATGCACAAATGAGCTTGACACAATGGATGTATGTATGGATTGTGATAAGATTTGTATGAGCCCCTAATAAAATGATTTTTTAAAAAGAAGAAAAATCATTCACTGGAAGGCAGGAAGTTTACCCTTTTGAAGCATTAAAAGGGGGGGGGGCAGATTTGAATAGTTCATGTACAATGTCGCCAGTTCCTTTCCTTGGGTGAAGGGCAGATGATTTGGGCTGTCACGTTATAGGATGCAAGGTATCCAGAGGTCTATATCCGAGCAGGTGCTGCCGGCCCCTCTACATGCTTCCTCACTCCTGGCCAAATAGGGCAGAGTATAGTTTAAATGCCCACCCCAGCCTGGAAGTATAGTTTAAATGCCCACCCCACACCGTCTCTTGGAGTAGCCATGAGTTGAACTCAGCCTACTGACGGGATTTATAGATACCTGCTTAAACTAACTCTCACAAATTAACCCTCACAAAATGGACAAGTAGGTTTTTTTTCCAATATAAAATACTAAGTGTCTCCTTTTCAACTTTTCTAGGGTTTGTGTGTGCATGGATATTGTTCTTTTATTAAGAACGATCAAAAAAAAATTTTTTAAAAGAACTATCATACAAATAAACATGTTATTTATATATATAAATTGAGCATATATACTAAAAATAGAGGTAGGCAATTAGAAAAGTTTAGAAACAATCTTAAACTTGTAAAGAAATTCTATTTCTGTTAAAGGCTGGTGTTGTAGTGACTGCCTATAAAACACAAACTAGGGAGGAGAGAGATTCAATTCTTATTTTTTCCTAAATCCTTGCAGCTCAACAGGAAGTTGCTTATTTGGCTCTGTACCTGGTACCGACTACACATCCCTTACTTTTGTTTGAAAGTAGGGATACTTGGAAGACTAGGACACATGTTCTTATGTAGTTGTAAGACTTCAGTCTGATCTACTTCTGAGTCCTACTAGTTTCCCAGCCTGCAAACTACAAGTGGTTGAACTAAAGATTCTCTGAAGGCCACTTTGAGCTCTAACAGGGCTGGCATGAATTTGAGGAGCTCCCATTTGGAGCCCTAGCTTCCTTGGCTGCCTCATCCTAGCTCCAGCCCTGAGATCTAATTGTGGCAAAGGTCAACTACTTGGTGTGGCTTCTGCTAGTCACAGTCTGTAACTCAAACCAGATGACTGAGTGGGAGCATGCAAATAAGGTGTATGGGGCTCTAAGGTAGGGACTGGTAGGTTTTGCCATTCCACAGGAAACACAGCGAGCCCTCTCAGATGCAAGAATGGGGGCTCTCATAACCTTCAGAAAGAAGAGCCAGGAGCAGAGGGTATCCTCTGGCCTGAGATCCCTGTGTGAAGAGGTGGAGGCAGAGGCAACACTGGCTCAGAGCATGAGATAGCAGTGGGCTTCCAGGTGCATTGAACAAGTAAAGCTGAGTGCCTTTGGGAAGGAGACTGGCTAGTAGAGTGGGGTGCCCTTTGGGCATTTATCAGTGCTAAAGGAGTCTTCTAACACTTGCCTAAGCAAGGCAGAGGTCAAGGGATTGTGTGGCAAGAGATCCAGGACAGGAAAGAGGTGGGTCTATGAGTACGACTGAGAAGAGGTTACTAATCCTGAATGCAACCTGCTGACTTCCCTATAAGTCTCCATAATTGTGAGTACTGTCTGTGAGTTCTATATGGTCACTGCAACAGATTATGGGACCCAGTAGAGAATTAAGAGTACCATGAGAGGGATGGCTGGTATCAGAAGAGGGTAAAGGTTAGAGGGTGAGGGTACGTCTGATCTCTGCCTGATGGAACTGCTCTTGGGCAAGTGATTCTCCTCCTGCCCCTTATGAAATCAGGAAGTCATACATGGCCTCATGCCATTTTTGCAATATTCAAACCCAGAATGTATCCAGAACAGCAGTTCTCCAACTCTCTAGCAGCTGACTTGGCACATCAACAGAGGTGCTCCAAAGAGTCCGTGCTGTGCCACCTTCGAGGTAAGATGAGCTAGGAAACAGCTAGGAAAGCTTGGGACCCTGCTGACCGAAGGCAGCAGGTGGTGCAGCAGGGCACATGGCTGCTTCCCTCAGGGCTCCCTTTATGCTGGAAACTTTTATCTTATTTCTTTTTAACTTTTATCTTTATTTCAACAAGCCATTCAGTTTACTTTTCCCCCTTGCATCTCTCAACAAATACATATGGGCTGACACGTTTCAAAGAGACTTAATGATCAAGCCAGGATTTTAGGAACCTGGTAACGAGCAAAGGGCACGGCACTCTCATTTGGCACAGGGCGTACTTTATTGACAGCTCATTTCACTACAGAGAAAACAAAATCAGACCAGGAAAAAACCAGGACTGTACCTCAAACTCTAGGAAAAGCTTCCAGCTCTCTTCCCACTTCTGAACACCTTCAAAGAGTTCCTTGTGAACTTCGTAGTATTCTCTTAACCGTACAACCTCAGCGTCATGGAGCTGCAGCAGATTTTCTGTGTAGTCCTCTGCAATAGATAGGTCATTAATTTTTAAATATTCCACTAATATTTAGTATCCATCCTAAGGCATTTTTCTTCTTAATAAAAATGATACATATTTGAATAAGTGTATGAGACCATTCAAAAGGCTCATGGGAAACTTTCCTTATCTTTTCATTTCATTTTTTCATGAACTTTTTAAAGCCCTCTCATATATATTTTGGATAATGGGAGCCAGGCTTCTCACCATCAGAAACTTGCACACCGGGAAGAGAGAAAGGCTAGAATGAGTTTTGTGGTGATGGACTGAACTGAAAGCGGAGGTATCAAGAATTACACAAAGACCGAGAGGTGAGAAAGAAACACAGACTGGCATGTTGTTGGCGGCTACCTGGATTTCCTAGCTCTCTCTGTCAGTTCCGAGCCTGGGCAATGACACCAGTCACAATGAACACACCCAGCACCTACATCTTGAAGTTTACATATCAGTGCTCAGTAAAAAGAGCCAAGGCTCCTTGGAGACAAAGTTGATTATAGAATATAAAAATTTCAAAGTGAGCGGGAACATTTTCCTGGTCCAGACAGCAGTGGAAGCGCTCTAACATTGACGAGGGCTTGTAGGAGACTCAGCTGCACGGTCAAAGCTGGGAGAGTGCATTAGAGCAACAACATAATGACCTGGTTCTAGTGGAACCCACAGCATAAACACCCGTGGACCCACATGGGAGCAGTGGCAGCTCTTCCTTACCAAGAATAAATGCAGATGTGAGGGAAACTTAGAGCTGCCATTAGACCCCCCAAATTAACTTTTGCAGAAATAGATCATGGCTGGATGAGAAAAGACTGTGTTAGTAGGATAACAACTGGCACACGTAACGCTCTTTAGAGTTAAGTATGTAGCTTCCCACAAGATAGTGAATTACAAGGGAAGATGCTAATTATGGTGGAGAAAACTAGAAGGCACCACCGTATCCAAGTAAAGTTATTAATAGAAATGGCAATGCTGTGATGATCAACTGGTGATCTTTAAAAAAATAGCATAAGCCGACTCCCTCATCCCCCCCACCCCCACCCACCACACACTGGGGTGAAACACGAAGGGAGCACAACAGAGGAGCAAGGGGAGCAAAGAAACGAAGTCACCAAGGAATCCCGAAAACAGACCTCTGACTCGGGAGGCTGGGCTTGGCAAATCACCAGACGTGATCGGGAAACATTCATAAAGAAAGGTCAGCAGACAGACCTGGAACTATTTATAGACTCCCCCCTATCTTACATAGATAAATAAGATGCACCTATGTAAGATAGTGGGGGAGGAAACAACGGGACCAATGGGCTGGGGGGGGGGGCATGACATAGGAGAGGAGGAGGTGGGGGAAAGGAGGGGGAAGCCAAAACCCCAAGGACAAAGGAACAAGAAAACTAAAACCAATGGTGAGGAGGGCATAGAATGCCTGGTGGGGTCTGATCAAGTGCAATGTAGCTGAGAATTACTGAAAACCAAATGAATGTTGAACAAGATAGTAGGGGGAAGAAAAGCAAAAGGAACTAGAGGAAAGAGCTAGGAGGCAAAAGACATTTACAGAGGAATAAACATAGGCATGTATATATGTAAATAGATTAATATATAACGATAGGGGTATAGGTCTATGTACATATCTTTATGTTGAGTATTAAGGTAGCAGACAGACATGGGGCCTCTACTCAAGTCCTCAACGCAAGAACATTTTGTTCAAACAACCTGGCATTCTGTGATGCTCAACTTCCCAACATGATCACTGAAGACAAAAACGATGCATAAGCAAATGTGGTGAAGAAAGCTAATGGAGTCTGGCTACCAAAAGGTATAGCGTCTGGAGTCTTAAAGGATTGAAGTTAAACAAGCGGCCATCTAGCAGGGAAGCAATAAAGCCCACATGGAAGAAGCACCTCAACCCATGTGATCACGAGGTGTTGACGGGATCAGGTATCAGAAGACCCAAAACAATCATAATGATGCAAACGAGGGGGGTTCAGTGGAGACCCAAAGCCCATCTGTAGACAATCGGACATGCCCTCACAGAAGGGTAACAAGGAAGGGACAAGTCCGCCAGGGTGCAGTACAGCACCAATGAAACACACAACATTCCTCTAGTTCTTAAATGCTTTTTCCCCTTCCCCCTCCCCCTCACTATCATGACCCCAGGTCTGCCTTATAAATCCAGGCTAGACTAGAGCATGTACACTGGTACAGCTAGGACAGAATCCAGGACAGATAATCCTCTCCGGAACAGTAATGGGAGTAGCGATTCCATGAGGGTAGGTGGACGGCGGGGGGAGAAGGGGGAGATAAGGGGAATTGATGGCAATGATAGACGTTTACCTCCCCACACACCTGAGGGGACGAACAACAGAGACCTAGGTGAAGGGAGACAGGAGGGTGTAAGATATGAAAATAACAATAATTTATAATTTATCAAGGGTTCATGAGGGGGAAGGGGGAAGGAAAAAAGAGCTGATACCAAGGGTTCAAGTAGAAAGAAAATGTTTTGAAAATGATGATGGCAACATATGTACAAATGTGCTTGACACAATGGATGTATGGATTGTGATAAGATCTGTAAGAGCCCCCATAAAATGAATTTTAAAAAAATCATGTAAGTGCAATTCATTGTAAGAAAACATGAGATGACCCCACACTGAAGGACAATCTACAAAAACTGCTCAATACTTGGAGAAAACATCAAGCTCGTGAACGAAACAAAAAACTGAGGAGCTATTAACAGACTGGAAGAGAGAAGGCAAATATGACACTGAATGCAACGTGGGGCCCTGGAGTGGATCCTGGGCCAGAGAAAGACCACCAGTAACAAAGCTAGCAAAATTTGAATCAGGTATATAGATTAGTTAACCATGCTGTAATTAATATGAACTTCAGTCAATGAACCTGGTTATGTGTCAGAGAGGAAGCCCTGTGAGGAATACAGCAACTCTCGTTATTTTTCAACCTTTTGGTAAACCTAACCGCGGCTCTTCACTTCTTATAGTCCAGGGTACCTTTTTGGGAATTCACCAGAAGCTGTGAAGCTGGTATCACAGGAAAATGCACACAGCTGCACTTTCACACACATCCACAGTTGTTCAGAATTTCAGGAGGCCTACACGTTCAAAGATGGGTTTCAGGCACACATGCCCCAAAGAATAAAAATTTACGTTCTGTCCTCATCACATCTTACTTATTCCTACAATTACATTAATCGTAGCCAGTTTGCCTTACTTAACATGTTGTAGTCCCAACCCTGAAGCTACTTCAAAAAGGCATGCAGCTGTAAAATGGGGATAATATTTAGTAATATAACTACTTTATAAGATTATTATGTGGATTAAATGAACATAAATACAAAGAATTGTTCATGGTTCATAGCAAAAACCCATAACCAGTGAGTCAATTCTGATTCATAGCAACCCATATGACACAATAAAACTGCTCCATCGGGTTCTAAAGCTCTAAGTCATTACAGAAGAGGATCGCTTCATCTTTCTCCCATGCGGAGGCAAGGAGGGCTTGAACTGCCGACCTTGTGGTTAGCCAGCCAATGCTTAACCCAATGCACCAATGGGGCTCCTGGTCCATAACAATATATGCTTGATAAAAGTAAAGATTCTTATTACCTAAAGCACAAAATTATGAGCCACCCTTTTCCCGTTGTCCCATAGCACAAATAGTACATCCTAGACCCCGATACGTGCAAGGGCTACATATGGAGTACTACATGAATTCACAGACCCAGAAGTATGCCAGTATCATAAACAGCACACGCCACAATAGACCTGTGAACGTGTCAATACTGGGTCAGAGTGACAGATGGGGCACCAACTGTCTGGTATACTGACAGCAAAATAACAGCATGTCTCTGATGACTGAAGTCATGGACAAAAGAAAAATGAATACATTAAGCGGGGGGGGGGG